TCCTCTTCAGTGAATACGCTACTGAAAAAATGATCAAGTACGTTAGCCTTGCCTTCATCAGAGGATATCTTTCATTGATCTACTTTCAAATCAGAAATACCGTCCTTCAATTTGCACTTCGAGCTAGCGTAAAAAAATGCTTTCGGGTTCTTTGAATTTTTAGCAATACTTTTTTTCCAGGGTTTTTACTGCGGTGCGACAGCTTTCTTTAGCTTGATTTCGAGCTCTTGCGTATAGGTTATAATCAGCATCGCTACGAGTCTGTAAACAGTGAGCGTAAGGCATTATTTAAAATTTTGGGAGTTGCTCAACAAATAGTCTTGGCCATTAATAGCATTGCAGCTTCATCTAAGATTCTAAGTAGTCTTGCCCAAAGTTTATTTTGATATCATGATTTTGCACTTGATCATTGAAAAAGTTAAAATTCTTTCATTTAAATTTATATAATAATTCACTTTTTACATCAACTGTCTCCTACAAGCCTGGAAGATGCCGCCTCATGTACACGATCTTCTAAACCTGAAGAAGATACCCGAACCCATTGCCTACGTGCAAAGTGATGACGTCACCTACCGGGCAATTGAGAAAATAACATACGAAGAAGACAACATTGTAACCTACGCCCAGTTGATATCGATTAAGCGACCTAAAGAATCGGCACGTAAATTTTTGACGAAAGGCAGTAATGTCATTTCGTACGATCGTTTGCCTCTTTCGGTGATTATAGTGTCTTCCCTTCTGGACATTTTTATATGATCCGACATTATTTTTTAATTAAAATTTTATTCCCATTGAACACCAATTATTCGGCAATTATAAACTTTGGTTTGGTTGTTTTTATTATCTTTCGTAACTTTAATATATATTATTTATTAAGTTATTTTTTCTAGGGAACTATTCAATGGCGGGTTCTTCCACTTGGGATGCCGAGGACAATCTCAAACAAATTCTGCCCTCTGGTCACTGCACGATACCTTTATCGAGTTTATCGGGTCGTATGTCTGCTTCTACGAGCTCTGCCTGGCTGATGAGATTCACGGAATCAGGGTGATAACCTGCTCAACGTATCCTGTTTCAATTTTGCCGTCAGCGCAGCACCAACGAATTCAAAAAGTTGTCCCTTCTTTGGAGGAATCTACGCATATACAAGCATTCTTCATAGAAGTGGAGACAATTATGCTGAAATGAATCGTCACACACCGTTCCTGTGCACCCAGGCAATGCGACAGTTGCCACGTGCCTGATGATCCCTGCCCTGCAGTGGCAGGTAGACGAACCAGCAATACCTGCATCTACGTCAAGGACTTCATTGCAGAACTTGAGGCAGGGAACAGTGGGCAGAAATTCATCCCTTAAACGAGTCAGACAGAGCCTCGCGAACATATGCATTCATCCTGATACGCTCCATGTATTTTTTTCGTAACGTTCTACGAATATCATAGCTTTTCAAACGCTTTCTTCAAGTTATTATTTACGTGCACATCTTTAATTACGTTCAACTTGATACTTTATCGTATAAATGCATATCGTAGCCTAAACTAACTCGTATATATTTTGCCACTTAGAAAAAGTGGAAGAGAACAAGAGGTGATGCTGATAGGGTAATCAATCAAGAATCATCACTCTCGTGCTTATATCGCACTAAGCACTTTTGTTGAATGTTAACAATCAGGAGCGGTTATCTCGCGGTTCCAAAAAAAAAAAAAATGGCGGGAAACCTCTAGTAACGCCTCTCTGAAGGTAATCGATATAAAACATTCGTACGCTGGGGAAGTTCAAACTTCAGAGGTGTAATTTAATGCAGTAAATTTGCAATAGGTCAGAAACTACCAGAAAAATACCAGATTCAGGCAAATATACCAGAACTAAAATTTTCATGCCAGACACCGTCTGAAAATACCAGATTTGGGAAATCTGGTTTAGAAATATACCAGTTGGCAACGCTGGATACTATTATTTGATGGTAAAGCGGTTAAATATGCAATTAGAATTGTAAAGATAGAAACACAAAAATAATTAAGTAACTAATTCGTAGTGACACGCACTTACGGTTTGGTACTTTGCCACGAGGCAAAACCACGTTGCCGCGAGGCGCCCAACTCTACAAGAATGAAGGAGTCGACTTTTTAATAAGAGGGTGGTGCTAGGTAATAAGCCTTCCCGACGGGAGTCCATCCAACTAGTGCAAGTTAAACCTTTCGAGGATTGCGCCTTGAAGAATTTTGAACGTGGTATTGAACAGGGTGCTGCAAGATGATCCCGTAGCGCCGCATATAGCAGCACCCGCACAAGACGCTCGAAGATAGTCCCTACATGCGAGGCGAGGATGGAGTAGAACATGAAGAGTTGGGTTGCTATCTCCAGAATCGGCACACGAGGAGGAGGAAGACGAGGTGCCTAGCTTCGGTCGGTCAGCCCATTGCTCCAGGGCTGGGCAATGGGCCCATTTTGACACTTTTTACAAAATAGTGTTTAATTAAAAATTGAATAACTCAATAGGCGTCTAATTCACATCATACATTTCTCATTAGTTGTACCTTTAAACAAAGAACCAACTCGTATCAATCAAAACTTTATCAAAAATTTAGTTTAAAAAAAGGAGCTAGGGGGCGCGCTGCCCCATGTTACCCTACATGTATGTACATTTTCTGTGACGGTACACTTCAGTACGCTTATAAGTGTTGTAACCGCAAGCATCAATTAATGAGGAAATCACTATGCACTAAATTATGATACTTCGTGAATTGGTGCGTCGTTAATGCGTTTCTAGCTTCCCAGGTGGGAGGATATTTCCTTCTAATCGTCAACGGTACCCATGAGAATTTATCAAAGGTACTGACTATTGGCCGGCAAGCTTCAAGTTTGGCACCAGCCCTCAACAGTTGTCAGGATCTCTCACGCGTGTCTTGACCTGCCGTTTAAATATTGCTACGGCATGAAATTAATTTGTTCTGGATACAGTTTTGTCCGCGTTGCTAGGTCACTTTATGTAAATACGTGTCTTTTTTTAATTATGCGAATTATCTCTGCTCATTTATTTTCTCTGAATAATTACTTCTGTTTTTCCATTAATCTTCGTTTCCTTAGCCCCAGAAATAGTTAAGCCTCCTAGACCGATGACAAAGAGCCTGTCTTGAGCCCCTTGCTGTTCTACACTAGAAATGAAATTAATGCGTCGAGTGTTCCTAAACTAAATCTACTACTACTATCCTTAGGCAGGATACTCGTCCACGGTATGAACTCCTCAGAAGCACACTTTCGGCTTATGCCTGGAAATTTCACACATTTAGGTTGGAATTGGCTTCAAAATCATTTCATAAAGGTTATTCTCCACCTAAAAACCCAGCAGCTGAATTCTCTGAGATGGCAGACTCTAAACTGACTTAACAGTTCAGCTGACAGAAAAAGGCAGCGCTCGGTATCATTTGAACTTCAACTCACAAGCTCAAAATACTATTCGACTTGATAAACTGGATTAGGTTATTATATATGATAACAATTTTAGTCGGATGGTACAACTAGCATAACGCAACCTACGGACGAATTATTTAAATATACTTATTTTAATACATTCAAAGAAATTCTCTAAAATCGCTACATAGAAGGGAATTATTGTCAATTCTTTATCTAAAAATGACAATTATTGTCATTTATTGTCCTCCATCAGGAGGAGAGATAAAAATGTTTATTTTCAAGACTGATTTTTTTTTGTATGTAGCCTGCTCAACTTGTATAAACCCAAACATGTTGATCATACTAAGCTTCCTTATTATTTTAAAAATTGCTGGATGGAAGAGTTTAGAAGAGCCATTATTGTTTCCCTGCGAGCTAAGCACCTGTAGCTTCACACAAGAATTTGGCTGCCATGAGATTCATTTTGCAGAGATTTTGTCAACTCTACCTACAGCGATGCGTTCTGGCAATAAGTGGGATCACTAGCTTTTAAAATGCAAAAATTTAGTAGTTTTTCAGTGGGCAACGAATTGAGAACCATTGTAATACATGAAAAACACCTGATCATAGAAAGTGACGTCAAAAACGGTTGTTAAATTGAAATAAAAATAAATTACTTCGTTAGTCATGAATATTTATGTTGTTGGTCATATCACCTTTACTCATACGAACCTTTCGAATATGTTGTAGTGAAACATTTTCTAAAAATTCCAACGGGGGTTAGTGACAAATAAGCTTTAATTAACCCGTGTTCCACTGTATTTGTTAGTTTTTGTTAAAACCGCATCTCATGCCCGGCTGCTCCTTAAATTTGACACTGAGACGTTAGGTAGCGTACCATATACAACAGAGTCTACTTTTCGCGGTAAAGTTTAAAATGTACAACCACCAGCCCGACAGGAAAATTAGTCCTCAATTCAATTGCGAGCCTGGTAAGCATTTCAATTAGGACTGTCGGTGTGGCTAACGGTTTAAAGATTCGATGATACCATGTCACGTTTACGTCACTCGTTCTTCATATACAATCTGCCAAAATGTTGTACAATATATTCGATTTCGGAGACTCGAGCCGGGTCATGAATTGGTTTCGGAGGCAAAGTTTCGGCCTCTGCGTGGATATTTTAGATTTCAGAGCCTCTCGAATTCGTTCTGCCAAGTGAGTACTAATGACCGGCGGAGTTGATGCTATGCTTTCGTACAAGCACGTGTTCGGTGACGGGCGTTGTCCATTTTCGCAAATTCAACTATAATAATGTTGTTTTCTTAAAAGTTTGATTTCTATTCAGGAGCGTTAGATTACGCTTTGATATCAACATTTTCAGAATCAATTTTTTAATTAACACCCTGAAGTTGGATTGTAACATTGCTCTGAGACTTCAACACGGAATCTTTAGCTAATTTACTAATTTGGCTTGCCAATAATGACAGGTCTCGGCATTTTCTAGAACTAAATTCCCAACCTAACTGAACTATGTGAATAAATTTACTGGACAAGTTTATAGTTATAAGAAAATATTTTTGACTCAACTAGAATGAAATTAACGACAGAAAAATTTATCAAACGTATTTAATTATAAACATACAGGCGCAGTCGGTACAACCGCTGCGAGGATTATGAATATTTTCAAGAGGCTACCTACCCATCACAAGGAAATATAATGATAAATTTATGCCGGTACGCTCACCAACATGGGATGTCGTGGAATGAAGAGACCAATACTTGTTGAACATACTGAACTTCGGAAGGATCATCGTCCTGAACCGATTTTAAATGTCAAGCTTTTTTCGTTCCATCAGAGTCAAGCCGAAAGATAATTTTTAATTGTTTATTAAATATTACTGTATTTGAGGGCCTTCATTGCCTCCCAGCTGGTCTATCATTTGTTTCTTCCAGTCAATAACTTGGCGGGCAATTGGTATCATTGAGCCAAGGATTTCCAAGGATCTAGGGACACGGGAATCAAAAGCTTCAGTTGTTGCATCAGAGTCGCGTTGATCGACTGGCGTTACATCAGAACCTCGGGTGGCAGCAGCTAATGTCGTGTCATCAGATGCAAGAGGTGCAGCGGTCGGATCCTGGAAACCGTCAGATCTCTCAGATCGCGGCACCGCGGCATCACGGCCCTCCCCCGGCGACACGGTCTCTGTATCCACGTTGACAGGCGCGACGGTCTCCCGAATTTCTTTTTCTAGCGTCGAGAGATCGGCCGGGTAGGCGAGCCCCAGGGCGAAGCACAGCGCCACAGCGGCGAAGAACAGGATTTTGTGCATCTGTAAGATGAAACTAATTTTTGTGACTTTTTCTATTAATTACAAAGTTATAATAAGATGGGATTTAAATACGTACATGCATATTAAATACACTAATATTAAATAAATTAATTTAACGGTGATATTAGGAACCAGGTTAAATGTTTTGCCTAGGTCACTTATAGAGAACGTCTGCAGTCATGTGCCCGCGCATGTCAAGTTTGTTAACAGCTGCTCGCCGCGTGTATCATAACAGTCAGTGAACTGGTTTAGGGTGTTAAACTACATAATTGAAGGAATTAATACAGGAAAAAATTCTAATTCACACCACTTTCTAATATGCATCATTCGATACACAAACAAATTCGTCGGATGAAAAAAAGATCTTACGAATCAAGACGATTGGAATGAATTCGAATTGTACGAATAGGTATGAATCTCAAAAATCTAGGCATGTTATTAATACGGCGTGAATAATGCTTATAGACCGCTATTTTGTCTTCTATTTTAAAGTAAATACCAATGAACATTACACGTAACTCGCTTTAGTAAAGTAGCGCATTAAATTAAAATGGATATCATTCGAACAAATTAGAAATGTAAGTATAACTCTCACAGAATCTAGGCAATTTATTGATAAGGCGTGATTTTGTCTTCTTTTTAGAAGTAAATACCAATGAATATTAAAAATATTAAATGTGTATAAATAGTAACTCACTTCAGTCAAGCAGCGGAGGAGATGATGCTCGTGTTGATGCAGGAGTACAAGTGATGTATGGGAGGCAGCGGTTCTGTTATATAGCCCAATTGTGCATGATTCATAAAGCCCGTCACGCGTTACGGATGTGATCCTGTTTCAAGGCGAGCGATGAATATAATTGAGATGTCACGGAATATGAATATGAAACGTAATTCATTATACACACTCACCGTTCGTTCCGTATACGCACCATGCAGGTACTGCCTACCGCGCGCTCTCAGTACACAATATTTGCAAAGTTTAACTAATAGGCTAATAGCGAATAGCTATAATATATCGAGTCACGGGCTTATATTAGCCATAAACTAAGTTGGACAAATTTTCAACAAACGGATAAAAAACTCATACATTTTTCCCAGCCTACTCCTATATGTAGGAAATCGGGTCAAATAAATAAATTCGAACTGACAAGAATTCGGTGATGGAATCTTTCGGAGATGGAACAGAAGAATTATTTTTCAATTAAAAAACAGACAACTGATATCCCCTAGGTTTGCTTAAAAAACCAACTTGCATCATATTTTATTGGTGGAATTGATCTGCGCAAACATCTGAAGAATTCGTGGGTTTTAATTTGCTAAAATGGGGTAGTTTTTTTGTACGCATGGCAACTAATCGAGAACCTTTCTAATGCATGAAAAGGGCATGAAGAAAGGATTTGAGGTTATACACTTTCAATAAGCCGGTTACAAATTACTTCGTTACTTAGTCATGAATATTTTTTTTCTACAAATTTCGTTGGGGGTTATGTGAAATGAATCTCATTTAAACCGTGTTTCACTGTGCGAGTCTCCAAAATCAAGTAACCAAGTGTACAACAACCTGGACGATTGAATACGAAGAACGAGTGGAAGTGTCAATGTCTCCTGCTGTCATTGTCAATGCGTCTCATGAGAGCTTTCATACCCGTTATTTTTCTGCGTCGAACGATTGAAGTTCTGCAAGATACTTTTTGTCGTTCAGTCAACAAACGCTCGCGGCACCGACAGTCCCACGTAGAAAGTTGGCCAGACTAGCCTTGATTGTTTCCTTTGCCTGTTTAGCTGATGGTAGCACATGTTAACCACTACTGCACATGTTGCAAGGCAGTACATGTTGACCACTACTGCACATGTTATGCTCTTTTACTTTAGAACCAGTTCTTGTACATATTCAATTCTAATTAGCTTCTCCCTTTGACCGTTCGTCATGCAGATTTAATTTATTTTAAATTATACACTCGTGAATCATCAAATCTCCAGGCACATTAGTATACGCATCAGGAATCTTTTGAAGAATGTTCACGCGTGTGTCGTGCTGGAATATTTCCGAGCTTCCCCTACGCCTATTTTTATTTCTACATCCTGGACCAGATTGTTAAATTATCTGAAGAATAGCTGGCAGTGCATATTAATGCAGTCTGGAGGCGCTCTACACGGATGTTTCAAATCAGTCTCGTATGTGTGACGGATCTTAATCATATTTCAATTTTGAAATATGATTAATCGTTTGCCTGGTAAATTGTATGGCAAACACTAAACGGACTTCCGATACACAAGTTCCAAAGTATGGAATAAATTAGACTCCTGCGTCCCGAAATAATTTTCTCGAAATGAACCGGGACAGACGAAACGAGACGAGAAAATTCCGGAAAAAATAACGGGACAGAGGGTAAAATTTGTCCCGGAATGAACGTATGAACCGAGACAAGACTTCTGTCCCGGACTTTAAAACTTGTGTCCCGGTAAATTATGAACCGGGACGAGATAGACAGATTTGAAACGAGACAAGACGAGATTTGTCTGAATTATTTACGACAAAACAAGTTTTTCGATTGCGATACGAATCATTTCGAAAACATGGGTTGAAGAATGCCAAGTTAGACCTTTATTGCAAATAGGGCCATAGACAGTTAATTACCATTTAAATTGAGTTACTATTTACCACATATCATTCGATGCGTAAAGACCATATCTAAAACTGATGCAGAAGGTTTTTTGAAATTCTCATTTTTGTGGGTATGGGAGCATTTTTCATGAATTTTCGGAAATTTTTTCATTTCACCCCCGCCACCCCACACTTTTTGCAGAATAAAATCCAAACTATAACGAAATTAGAAAAAAACGTCTGCATCATTTGTAGATTTTCTATTTGCGATTCGAACGGTATATCTCTCATTGATGTAGCTTCAAAACTCTAGGAGGAGATAGGTTTGCAGTGACAATAAGTTAACTTTTCAGTGGAGCCCCACAAAGTCGCAGGCGCCTCTAAATAGACATTCAAGGGCGCAAGGTTGCAAGACTAGACAATACTGGAACTCAATTTCTGTCAAGGATGGTGCGAACGACGGCACGAGAACCATCCCGTACGACTACAGGCGGATAACTCAAGCACAGCGTGTTCAGACTAGCTATTTAAGTGTTCTACCGGTAATTTTGGCCTATTTTGAATGTTAAAGAACTTCATTTCCTCTAACTCTTTCGCGATCAGTCGTGAACGCATAAATTAACGTACAGAGATGGTTCGGTACCGTTAGATGCATCAGAATGTAAGCTTTAAGATGAGTATAAAAACCAAAAAAGTCAAAAATTTTTATTTTGGGGCAGACGCTCCCCTTAAATTTTGTTGTATTTTAAAATGTTGTTGATATTTCTTTCCAGACTTTTTGTTGAAGGAGATTGATCAAGGCAAGATCGATGAATCTGATTCTGTGATTGAGATGGAGGCAAATTAAAGTCTGACCAGACAGCCGATGTCACCAGCTACAGCTAGGATGGCCTCCTCCAGACCATCATATAACACAATTATTGGAAAATAAATAACGTGCTTTTCCATTTTTATTTGCCTATCAAAAATAAGTACCATATTAAACCACAACATGTATTCGTAGCAAAAATTATTTCAATTGCCGAGCTCCAATCGGAATAGTAAAAGGACACGTCTCAAGTTGGTAATATGTATGATGTTAAGCCAAATGATGGTAAGCCATCATCAATAAATGTATGATGGTAAGCCAAAGTTTACACTACATCAATAATTGATTCGTCTCGTTATTTCTCGTCATGTCTCGTTAAAATGGCTATAAATTCCGGGAAATTTAAAGCTCCCTATTTTAACCGGGATATCTCGTCTCGGTATCGTCTCGGAATTCCTACAGAGGGCTGAAAATTGTCCCGGTTTTTATTGCGAACCGGGACAGAGCCTGTCTTCTCGTCTCGTCTCGTCTCGGATACAAAAAAATACCAAACGCTGTAGTCTAGAATAAATTGTAGTGACTGCCAAAGAAATTGTTCGATTTACCGGGTTAGGTCATAATAACGAGGAAACTCGTGCACAGCCAAACCTCGGCGAGCACTCGAATTGTGACTTTAACACTTATTGAGTTTATGTTTTTTTAGTCAACTCCGTAATAAGAAGAGTAATTGCTTTAAATATATTCCTCAAGATGGCTGTAGTACATATTCTGAATGTAAAACACAGCTTCAGGCATCATTTTGTGAGTGTCACGATCGTCCATTTAACACAGGAAGACAAATTAAGTTTTCTTGACTCCTTCCGATGATGTTGAAATCGCGGCACTGAACAAAAATAAGACGATTTTGTAGGAGCGTTGAGGCAAATATTTGTTGAGAATAAAAGGGTATAATAATATAAATATAAACACTTATTGAGAATAAAAGGATATAATAATAATAAAAGAGTTAAAGTAAATATTTGTTGAGAATTACTTTGTATCTGTCGTACCAAATTATTCGTTGCCAACTCGTACTTCTCATAAATGGTTTGATACAAATCCTGACAGCGGCCTCGTGCATTAAGAAATTGCAAAAATGTATCCTTCTACACAACACTCCTATCGTTTATAATCTCAAGCCAAGTTTAAACCCTACGCTTACCAGAAAAACCGACATATTCCAGAATTATATGCAAGCAACGTCGCGAAATAATGCATTTATAGAGCGTACGTTCATCTACAGAGCCTGTCGCACGCACTTGTGACCGACCTGGTCAAGACCTTTAAATTCAAACTCTCTAAAAATAATGCAGTGGAATTAGGAATTAGTTTTTTCTTTAGTTGTAATTGGATCAGAAATTCGTGGCGCCTCTGTTGACAGTCATGATCAATCAACGGGTGAGAGCGCATTAATTGCGCGTTCAGCGTCAAAGCATTCTCACGGCACAGGCACAAGTGGGACTAATATAAATATTTGTTGAGAATAAAAGGGTATAATAATATAAATATAAACACTTATTGAGAATAAAAGGATATAATAATAATAAAAGAGTTAAAGTAAATATTTGTTGAGAATTACTTTGTATCTGTCGTACCAAATTATTCGTTGCCAACTCGTACTTCTCATAAATGGTTTGATACAAATCCTGACAGCGGCCTCGTGCATTAAGAAATTGCAAAAATGTATCCTTCTACACAACACTCCTATCGTTTATTATCTCAAGTGAAGTTTAAACCCTACGCTTACCAGAAAAACTGACATATTCCAGAATTATATGCAAGTAACGTCGCGAAATAATGTATTCACAGAGCGTACGTTCATCTACAGAGCCTGTCGCACGCACTTGTGACCGACCTGGTCAAGACCCCTAAATTCAAACTCTCTAAAAATAATGCAGTGGAATTAGGAATTAGTTTTTTTCTTTAGTTGTTATTGGATCGGAAATGTGTGGCGCCACTGTTGACAGTCAATCAACGGGTGAGAGCGCATTAATTGTGCGTTCAGCGTCAAAGCATTCTCACGGCACAGGCACAAGTGGGACAAAAAATTACAAAAATACTTGGTATACTTGGCTTCACGCGAGTTCTTTTGCTGGGGTTATTTCATAGCGACATTTTAGAATATTGCTGTTCGGTAAAGAGAAAATGTAACTAAACCGACATTTTCAATGGTTCAGTTTTTATTAACTCATTACATGAAAAAGTTTCTTTAGCACGCACATTACTCTATACTTCCTCCATTTTAAAACTAAATTTTAGGTTTTTCGAACCCATGCTACGACGTACGGCTATATAACCGAACTGCTGCCTCCCATACATCACTTGTACTCCTGCATCAACACGA